TCCATATTCTGCTCTGCAGCCTCACCAGCAGTCCTTAGTGTCTGCCTCTTATTGGAATTCTATTCTTACACACTCTAGAACGGCTCGTTCAACTCTGCATTCAGCATTGGAGGGCTGCTCTAGCTCACAGCTCCAACTCTTCTCCGTACCTCCAGCTAGCCAGCTCTAAAGGACTGTGAACCACATGGCATGGCTTAACTGGTTGGTGCTGGAGGATGATGGGAATGCCTGGAGCTCATTCCCAGGACGGCCTTTACTCATGGTCCAGTGGCCCCCAACACCCCAGAATGCAGCTGGTCTTCTTTGCATATTCATCTTCTGTCTTGGTGTTTTCTGATTGTATGGCAAAATGCCTGGGGGACACAGCTTAAGGAGGGCTGGTTTATTTTGGTTCACAGTTTGAGGGGACACCACCTAGATGGCAGGGAACACAGGGTGGCAGGAGTGAGGTGGCTGGGCATATCGCATGGTGTGCTCCCTCATTTGTCCTTTAATTAAGTCCATGACCCCAATACATGAGCCGCCACCCACCACCCACATTCAGGATGGGTGAGGTGATTTGAGTAAGAAATGCTTCCCCACAGGCTCGGGCATTTAACACTGGGTCTCCAGTTGGTGGCACTGTTTGGGGAGATTACGGAGAGGCCCAGTTTTGCTGGAGGAAGTGTGTCACTGGGCCAGGCTTTGCGGGTGGAAAGCCTTGCGCCTCTTCCGGTTGGCTCTCTCTGTTCTATACTTACATTTGAAGACGTGAGCTCTCGGCTGCTGCCCCGGTCACCACGCCTGCCTCCTGCCATGCTTTCCTGCCATGATGGCCATTTCGCCCTCTGGGACTGTGAACCAAAAGAAACTCGCCCTTCACTAGGCTCTCTTGGTCTTGGTGTTTCTGTCACAACAGAAGGAAAGTAACGAACACAGTGACTCTTTTTTCCTTCCTCAGTTAAACCTCTCTGGGAATACCTTCACAGACATGCCCAGAGATGTGTCTCTTAGAAGGGTCTAAATTTAGGGAAGGTGACAGCAAAGATTAACCATCACCATGTGCATAAAGTGTCCGACTTTGGGCTTCTTAGGTGGGTCTGAGTGTGACATATTTATACGTGACTCTATTGCTGTGCGTAGCCACATGCCACTCAGAAATGCCCTCGAAAAGAAAAACCTGCCCCTTCTTCTGTCTCAGCTCCCAGGACACCCCACCATCATGTACCACACAAGCTGGTCCAGACTCTTGCCGGCCTGCACTGCTTCTCTGTGCTATGTCTCTACTGCCTTCTACCCAGACCTGGGCAATGAGACTTTCTCCTGCTGCTGAAGTCCATGTGTGCCTCTGATGAGGCAGCGTTTGTGTGGCTGCCACCTGTAAGCAGGCGCCCTGCATGTCTGGAGCATGCATGCCGGTGTCCTCCATGCCAGTGAGCTCCAGGCCCGTCATACTCATGAGCTGCCCTGCCCCAGAGGCTGCTACCCCCTCCTGTCTCCTCACCCTCATCTTCAGGACCCTCCCCTGTGGCGTCACTGCTTTCTAACAACCCTTCCTATCGAATACATTGAATCCTGGACCTGTTTCCTCCAAAGTCCAGAGGAGAACTGTCCCTCTTTCCCAAGACTCCATCACGACCCTGTTGAATTAGGAAGAATCTCATCTCTCCCCTAAACCTCCTGTATGGTTGGGCAGAGGCACCCCCCTAAATCTTCTCTCCAGGAGAATCGATCCTGCCCCCTAAAATGTCCAGCCCTCATCTCCTTTCCTGTTTTCTCACATTCTGAACTTGATTCCTAGGGAGCCTGGGACAGGCTCGAGCCCATTCTGGGGAGGGAAGCCTTGGAGATTCATATTCACTGTCAGCCTACTGGGTTTTGAATCACCCCGGAGACTGAGGCACATCTCAAGGCATGTCTGTGTGGGTGTTTCACGGAGGATGAACTGAGAAGGGAGACCTTACTTGAACGAGGCAACAGGCATTCCATGGGCTAGGAGCCCGGGAGAACGAATGAGGAGAAAGCCAGCCAAGTACCAGCATTCTTATGTCTGTGTAGTAGCCCATCATCCTGTGAACCGCTCCGCTCCACTGTGACGGACTGAACCCTCTGACACCGTGAGCCAAGATTAAGTCCTGCCTCAGTTGATATCATTCTGTCAGGTAACTCACCACAGCAATGCAGAGCTAACAAATGCAGAGGTTCTGTTGGAAGGTGGGAAGCCGCTGTGACTAATCCTGTCTGTGGGTCTCTTACGCTTTGTCACAGGTCTGTGGACAGAATTGGTCAGAGTCCAGAGAGGTGGCGCATAGAAGCCCTGGAAAGCTGCAAACAGCTTTAAGGGGAGTCCTAGTGGGTGCTCAGAAGACAAGAATGCCAGTGGATTTCAGACAGGAAGGGAGCCTGAGCCCATGAGGTTTCAGATGGGAACAGCGACTCTTCGGGGAACTAGGCTAAAGGTCATGCGTGCATATTCCGGCAGAGAATAATGTGCATTTTTTCCTGTGTCCAGAATCTTAATGATATTGAGGACAATGGGGGCTGGTCTCATGTCCAACCTAGTTTCACACAAAGCTCAGATATTTTGTTTGTTTGTTTGTTTGTTTGTTTGTTTGTTTTGAGACAGAGTTTCTCTGTGTAGCCCTGGCTGTCCTGGAACTCACTCTGTAGACCAGGCCGGCCTTGAACTCAGAGATCCGTCTGCCTCTGCTTCCTGAGTGCTAGGGTTAAAGGTGTGCATCACCATGCCCAGCTCCAAAGCTTAGATTTACACCGTACAGTGGTCACAGACTCCCTTGACTGTTGAGCTATAAAACTGCATTAGCAACTCGCCTCTCCTCACCAGTCTGCAACATAAAGAAAACAGCTAGAGCCCAGGGCAGTCAGCAGTAAGAGCTCTGGGATAGACAGAGCAGAAAGGAGCCACGGGCACAGTAGACACCAGGTTCCTTGTCCATCCCTAGGAACCTCTATGTGAACTGCTCACAACAGCCTGAAGGAAACCAGAAAAAATGATGCACACCAGAGATGGGAGATGGTCACCAATGTGCACAGAGGAACTAACCCCCAGATCATAAATATCACTGACAAACACTTAAAAACACATGTCTGGGGCACATGGAGCCCAAATTCAACTCTACTCATTGACAGATGAGCGATGCCCCCACATGGCTGCCGCAGCCACTGCCCCAGGAAATAAGCAAAATGATGCTTTCTAGGTTCTAAGTTGAAAGTGATGTGTGTTTATTACGTTATAATTGATCACCAGTCCATCAAAGATGGGTGATGTGAACCACTGAAGGGAAGGTGTTACAGGATCAATCACGTTGTATAACTAAGATTCAAACATTTGAAAAGTGCCCTGTAAAAGTCACCAGGACCCAGGATACAAGACGGCACCAGAGAGAAAAACTAGCCAGGGACAATGAGAATGTCTGCTGCCCGTGTGGCCACCATGACAGATGCACTGGCAAGAAGAACTGAGGGGGGGGCAAGATGCAGCTAGGACAGTGAGTCCACAACAGGGCTGCACGCGCCTACCCACAGGGATGCCAGGGACCTGACGACATCTGCATAACCAGGCCATGTCCTCCACCCCATCTCATCTCCCAAGGACCTTAGAGAACGTTTACTAATCTTACATCCCTTCTGATACA